CAATGCAAAGAATTGGGTACTATCATTTATTTACAACTATACTGCTGTCATTTATTTGAAAATTTGTACTTACTTCAAACTCATTCCCAATACATACACAGCACCTAGAGAATTTCTATACAGAAAGGACATTTTAAAACATAAAATATATTTCTGCTGAATTCAAGGTTGTTCAGTCAGAAAATAAATAGTTCAAAGACAAGGCATAATGCTGAAATATTGAGATGATTACATTAGATGAGATTATTTAAGTGTACCAGCATTATAAGTAGATATCTTCCTGAGAAAGGTTAGTTTTATCTTTATTTGTGATTATGTTAATATGTTCTAGATTCATAAAATCCTTATACAGTTAGCATTTTGTGACGTGCTGTTCATTATAAAACACACCTTAAGGAACATGATGATCGAACAATTTAACTATTGCCAGAGCAGAAGTATTGCATTATAAATCCCTAGTTTGGGGGTGACTTACTATATTGAGAGTATGAAAATTAATTAGGCAGAAACTCAGCACAAAGGTTATTGTCCAACAGAGGATTTTTTTTTTAGTCCCACATATTTTACATGTGTTAAACTGTTCATAGTGATAGAGTAGTCAAAAACAGTTCAGCTAAATCAATTGTTTTGGATGCATATGCTGTGAAAGGAAGTACTGAGTATTCTAGTTCATGATACCATCTACATGTTTTAGCTACCAGACTATTTCTTGTTTTTTAAATTTATCCTATACAAACTAACTTGGCTATCCCCTGAAACTTAAAAAAAAAAAAAAAAAAAAAGTATCAGAAAGGGCTTTTAAAGTATGTGGGGAAGTAGAAGATAAGGCATTTCAGCATTTTTTAAAAAATTAAGAGCAGATCATATACCTTTGTTTTATCGGTATGTCATTTAATCATATCAAAGCAGCACACAACAACCCCAATTAGGGTCCTGGCTCCATTGTGGTAGATGCAGGTCTAACCTCCCTGGGCCAGCACCCTCGGGACCTCACCGTCCTGGATGAGGGAATTTTCTGGACAACAGGAGGACCCCTGACACCAGCCTCTCAGCCTGCTGCCCCTTCCCATTGCCAGATCCTTTGACCGGGCTGGGCTGTCTGCTGGCCAGCCCCAGCCCTACTGCTGGCCTGGTGTCATACTGCCCAATCAGGTTGCAGCAATCCCAGCCCCGCTGCCGGATGGCACAAGGCCCTAGCCGTGCTGATTCTGCCAGGCTGCTGTGGTCCTGGCCAGCTTTCTCTCCTGGGCTGCTGCAGCCACAGCCTCAGTCCTTCTGCCACCACTGCCCCACCATTACCTCTCAGGCTGCAGTGGCCCCAGCCAAGCTTCCTCTCCTTGGCTGCCGTGGTCCCAGATTGCACTCTTCTGCTGCCCAGATTGGTAGCCGTGGGGCCACAGCAGGTCTCGCAGGGCTATTGGCCCTCCTGCTCTGAGAATCTCTCATCCAGGAACATCTGTGGTCATGCTGGACCACAGATGTTGCCAAACCAAAGAGGTGCAACCTGTACTAAACAAACATGTAAGAAGTGGAGCCATTTACAAGAAGCTTAACATTTTAGATCAACTTGATTAAAACACTTAACTCTCCCGCATGTACTTCAACACCAGAATGAACTTCAGAGTTGAGAGAGCTCTGCAAATCTGCAGATATACACATATCAAATTTGCAAATTGATGTGGATCCAGATTTAATATCTAAAAGCCACATATTTGTAAGGTATCTACTTTATAGCCATGAACGTGGATATCCGTGGACCAAGTCTGCAGATTGGATGCCTTACCCAGATACATTTCACACAAGAGGGGAAAGAGCGAGTTTTTAAAGAGTCAAGCAGCTCAAGATGAGCCTTTTATTTCCCAAGGGTCTTTTCCCTCCTCCCACTCTCCTATGAGAGTGGGATGGATGTCACCAAAGCTCCTCTTACTCTGCCCATCCCCAGTAGCACTCACCCAGAGAAAAATCTGAGAAGGAGAAAACATGAGGCTGGAAGCTGGGCTTGAACTGATGTGTGAGTGTGGGGAGAGAACTAATTTCTGGGCAGGAGATGGGCAAGAGCTCGTGCAACAGGGGCCAAAAATCAAATTTCTTAAAAATATTGGAAAGTGGGCAATACTAAATTGTCTCTGACACTAAGTGGTGGAGTTAAAGAATATTAGAAAACATTAAAAAGTCAAATTTTTCTCATGATTTTGTGAGGGCTGATTCATGATTTTGTTATTAAGAGGGTCCCCTGACTCACGACTTTCATTTCTTGTGCTGGGCAACACCGTAAAAGTCAAACTTGTGTTACCACATATGTATGTCATTTCTATTATTTCACACGAATAATCCATCTTCTTTAAACTAGGCAACATCAATAAGATCGCAAAATACAAAAAAGTTAGGAAATGCCAGGATTAACATGCCTGTGCAACTGCTTATGTGACCTCGCTGTGTATATACACATTATGATAAAATACTAAATTATAAAATCCCACACTGCATCCAACCATGTGGTTTCCTAGATTTTTTTAAAAAGTTTGTTTTCAATTCGTATAATATTGACATCCAGATGATCAGCAGGATTCAAACCTTTAGCTCCATTGCATAAACCTGTATCATTTGAGCAAAGAGACTAACTAATAGTTAAAATAGGTTTTCATCTTCTACTACAGCAGTTGTGCTGCTATATGGACTTCTGTATAGCTGCTCCATGAACAGCAGGAGATAACTCTCCTGTCAGCATAATTAAGCCATCCCTAAGGAGCAGCAGTAGCTGTGTCAGCCAGAGGGAGTCTCGCACTGACATAGCACTCTCCACACTGGCATTTTTAATCGGTTAAACTTTTGTCAGACAGGAATATGTTTTTTTTCCCCCACATCCCTGACCAATAAAAGCACTAGTGTAGACAAAGCCTGGTTCTCAGTTTCAGTTTCCTACATCAATCACTCAGTACTAGTCTCCTCCAGGTCTTCATCTCGTGACAATCTCTCCCAGCTCCTCATACCCGTGGCTCCCTCTTTCTTTGTTTCAAGCACACCCAATATGAACAGAATCTTAATTTGCAAAACACTAAAAATTAAGTTGATTATAAGTTCTCTATTCAGAAATGGAGGAAGAATGTACATGTGAAGCAGTCATTTATGTTATCTCCCATGCATCACTGTTAGAACACCCTGAAATAGAGAGATTATAAAATGGAACCGATAAAGAAATATTAATGGAACCTCTGTGCAACGTGATACATATAAATTGAGTATCCAATGCATTTTTGATTGATAATAAACATGAAAATAAGCTTTTTAAAATAAAACATCTATATTTCAAGTATCAAGATAAGGGAAAGCCCACAACAGAGTAGTTCACATCCCTATTATAAAGTGCCCAGTGTAAAATCTTGTGTAGTAAACAACTAGTCAACTATCTGATAAGCAAATGCTTATTGGATAGTTGACACACTAGTCGACTAGTCGCTTCCCCCACCCTATTAGAAAGAGGTAGCAAGAGCGGGGAGAGGGATGATTCAAAGAGGTAGCGCAACGTGGAACCTGGAGTCAGATGTCAGACTCCCCACAGCGTTTTAAAGTGGCAGCGCCACATGGAGCCTTGGGTCAGCTGGCTGCAAGCTGCACGCAGTGTTTCAAAGCAGTAGCGCAACATGGAGCCCAGGGTCCTGCCTTGGCTCCATGCAGTGCTGCCGCTTTGAAACACCTCCCCCCTTCTTTCCCTTCCCCTTGCTGCCTCTTTCTGATAGAAAGAGGCAACAAGGGGGAGGGGGAAAGCGATGCAAATTGCATCAACTATTTGATAAGCCAATTAATCTAAATTTAACATCCCTACCTCATAACGCATGAGCTATACAGCCATATTCATAAATCACAGACTTTATTATGCCTATATTGGGAATGTAAAGGGTTTGCCACTTACCCAGTAAGCATCACCCTTACTGGCATGTTTACCAGGGTAATCCGTTAACTGGCAGCCCAGCCAGTCTGGAGCGGGAGGCTGCTCCAGCTTGCTTGGGCCCACCACGCTATGCCGTGGATGAGGGGCCAGTCCGGGACCAGCCCCGCATTGCATCATGGACAGGGGCCACTCCAGCCCAGTCAGGCCTGCGGGATCCTGGTTAACCAGTTAAACGTAATATTAAACCAGTTCACTTAACGTTATTTTACATCCCTAGTCTATATTAAAATTAATGTGGGTTAAGTCATTCCAGTCTCATGAGAGATGTGATTATATTAAAGTTTCCCTTTTAAAAGGCAAAAAGTATATTATTTTTGTCAGAGATGGTAACAATGAAGGAGGTGGTAACTAATATTTCAAGTACCTGCACAAAACAAAGCAGAGATACTGTTTCTCTTCATCTTGCCATTACAGTGCACAAATTTAACCAAATATTTACTGTTAAAGCAGCACCTATTGTATCACCACAGAACAAGAAATGTGGTTTTTAACAGTGGTCACTACATTATCTAGAGTTAGCAGTAGTTAGAACATAGGTAGACAGGTAGGAAGAGAAGAAAACAAAGTAGGTAGGTGTGATGATTAGGGAACATATTTTTAAAAAGCTTTACTATCATTATTCAAATTGGCAGTCATTTTGAAAGAAACAGAAACATTTAATTTACAGAAGTCAGTGCATTAGAAAACCCATAAGTTTAATAAGAACACTTTCTGAACAACCAACACTTCCTGGAATGTCTTTTGAAAAAAATGTCTTTAGAAAGAAAGCAAACAAGTCCAGAAATGTTTTTAAACTTGTTATTGATAATATAACAGCAGTAAATTAAATTAAAATAAAATTACAAGTAAAGAGTTACTTTAAAAAGATCAACTAATATTAATAAGGCATCCATTAAACTGAATATAGTCTTTTACATTTCTTTTAATCATGTATTCATTCTTTCCTGTCAGCCAATTCAGAACTCTACTGCTCGTTATTCCTGAATACACAAGATGTTTTAAATGCAACACTTGTTAAATTAAATAAAACTTTACAATATTTGTGACTTACCTGCAGTGAAATCTCTATTCAAATCTATAAATGCATGAGAATGTGGTATGTACATTTTACTCTTCATATCCATTGCAGGATGCCATGATAAATTCCTGAGACACAAAGAAAACAAAGCTATTCTTATGTGTTTACAATTTAGGGCTTGTCAACCTGGACAGTATCCTCTTAAAAAGACATTATTTCTAGCTTTTTGTAGCAATATTTCACTAATATCCAGTTTTATTATAGGCCTCATAATATACGGAGTAATTCTTGACAACATTTACATAACATGCTGCCAATGCCATAGCTTATGTGGTACTTTTAAATTTGTTGCTTATAATACCTGGCTATCTAAACAATCTTGATTCAGACTAAGCAAAGAATTACAAATATCTAAAAGAAATGGAGCACAGTTTCAGCAGTCTTACCATTTTTTTAAAAATACTTTTATTGCTCTCATATCCTGTTTTAATTAAATTATTTTGTCAATCTTACCTTGGTAGCATTTCTGAAAAATCAACAAAAATAGAAATAAGCATGCTCTTTAAAGCAGTTTATGCCTTCTATTACCTCAGAGAAGTAGTCGTGTTATGTTTAAGCAAATCTGTTTGTCTAAAGAACTGGAGTTTCCACAGAATAATTAATATAGCTTAATTAAGCAATACACCTGATAGCTACTACAATATCTATGTAGTAAAATATTATAAGTATTCTGAGGCAGGTAGGAGTACTCTGCATAAGAATCCTTAACAAGAAATGTAATGGGATTCACTGCACTACCAAGAAGCCTTCCAGGTAACTGAGGAGCCACTGATTTCAAAATTAGTAGATTTGCTAATTGCAATGTTCATTTATTTTAAAATTTCTCATATAGAATTATGACTATCTTACAACAACACTAATGCAATGCTTCACTAAAAATGAGGCAGTCAAACAGTATTTTACAGCCATGAGTGATGAAAGCACAGTGAATAAGGAGATCTGCATTTTGGTCCTAGATCTGTCAGACTTCCTTGGTTATCTTAGTCACATCACAACCTTTATGTTCTACAGTTTAATTTCTAAAATGGGGATAATCCTTAACTAGCTCCCAGCCAGCAGTGTTGAGCAGTTTCATTAACTAATCTTTATCAACTGCTTGAGGAGTCTCATGTGAAATCGGGCTGTAAAAGCAAAGTATAATTATATCTCCAAATGTTACCAGATTATAGTGCTCTTTATTTGAAATCTATTCTATTTGTTGTTGAGAAATATTAAGTTTTTCATAACAATTTTAGAAAGTCTCTCAGTCTACCACAGTTAAGATTAAAAGCCAAAATGTAAAGCAATTAAGCAGCTGTGTTAAATTGGTAGTTATAAACAGAAGAGCGACATATATCCAAATTGTATAACATTTGTCATTATGACATCCTTTAATAATTGCTTAACTCTGCCTCGGGATATTAATTTTAGAATTTCAACAAAAAGAGTTCAGAGAGCATAAGCTACAGTAAACCACTATCTGCACAGTAGCTCTTGTTAGTAGCTTGCACCCTTAATTTACCAATTCTCTACATGCACTGTACATCCTCCCTTGCTCTGCAGTGGCCACACAAATACAACCAATCCTCCTTCCCTGATCCTGAGTAAAAGGTACACCATGAGTTGAACATCTTTTCTTTTACCAAGTGGTTATAATAATTCTCTACACTCAGAAGACACACTCTTTATTAACCAAGTCCCCATATCACAGCCCTCTGAAGAAATCAAGTATTAGGTCTCTCTCAATTCTACCACATTTTATAGGCAAAATACAAGTTACACAAGACTTATTCTTGAAGGAGATGTGGAGAGAACCTGGTTCTCTAATATGAGGAACTCAAGTCTCTTTCATTTAGCCATACTAGACTGAATCCACTACACCTACATAGGTTGATTATGCAATCTGTAAAATGGAACTACTTTTACCCAATTAACTAACTGGTGAAATTATATAACCCATACTGAAGTCAAATAATGGAGTTAACGGTAATAACAGATACATGAACAAGCTTAATTTTGTTAACTTTCTAGTTCCGAGTGCCTGTTGTGACAACTTTAGCATTCCTTTAACAGATTTTAGCATAGTTATATTAAAGTAGAATAAGAGGTTTCAAGAACAAAAAAGTTACCTTATGTGAATGGCTTTCAACTAATTTTAATCAGATATTTTCAGTTTAATTATTGGAAATATTCAGAGAGACTAAGGGTATGTCTACATAGCAACATTATTTCAAAATAACTAGTGTTATTTTGAAATAACTTAGTCTGCGTCTACACAGCAGGTGGTTATTTCGAAATAATGTCGAAATGCTGTCTAGGTGGAGGACTTCTTACTCCGACTCCTGTAACCCTCATTGTACGAGTAAAGGAAATCGGACGAAGAGTGCTCTATTTCGAAAAAGTGTTGTGTAGACGCTCCCAATTTCAATTTCAAAATAAGCTTGGAGCAGCCAATTCTGGAATCCACAAGAGAAGATGCAATTCATGATTCAGTCCTAAGTGGAGCACAGCATCTGGTCAAAAGATGAATATAGCTGAACTGCTTGGTAATAGTGATCATAATATAATTAAATTTAACATCACTGTGATGGAGAAAATACCACAGCTGTCCAACACTGTTGTATCTAATTTCAAAAAGGAGGACTACATGAAAATTAGGAAGTGAAATTATTCAAATCACCTCCCAGACTCACCTATCTTCTTCAATCTATAAGGATGATTTTGTATTTGTATAGCTACTCTGGTGGTAACAGTTACAAATCAGAGCAAAGGTGATCCACTATTCTTCAAGGTCAGATAAATATAATAAAAAGAGAAAAAACAGACTACATATACTGAAATGTTTTGATGAAAATATAGTGTTTATGTCAATCTTCTAAAAAGCTGCTCTACCCACAGATCATACTTCTTTCAAGTGGAAAAACTACAAAGAAATAATTCAACAGAACTAGAGAAAATAACTGCTCTTCACTACATTTCTGCTCTTTCATGATGCAGTTTGTTTAATTAGGCAGACTTATTTCCAAGTATTTATTAAAATGTCCACATTACTATCCTGGGTCATGTTTTCCATCAAAGAAATATACAAAAATATGTTCATGCTTTCAAGTTCCAGCATGACAAGCCTTTGAAAGGACAGTGTTTGAAAAATGAGCTTTTTTCATATACACAAAAGTCTTAACTTTTATACTTGGTAAAAATCCAACTCCATGTATTTCTGACAATGTATGAAGGATTTTAGTAGTGATGTAGTTATTTCAAAAGCTCTAATTAGGTTTTCCCCAAAACCCAATATAGGTTTCATTTTCTAGAAATATATAATTAAAAGATCAACATATATCAGTATCCAAAGAGCATCTCCTACAGATTTAAGATTTAATTATGAAACTTTGAAACAAAAATATCAACCTGCCCAATTAAAAACAAACATATACTGAAATTATATTCCAGAACATTTACTTCTAGAGAACTATAAAACAAGTAAGAAAATGAAGAACTGCTGAAATTTCCATTAAAAGCCTATGCATTTTCCATTTAAAAAACTGAACATTTGGAGCTGTAAGAAAATAGAACAAAACTATATTTTCCAAACATTATCACATATGGATTATATTATGACCTATAACATTCAACCTTCTTTTGAGCTATTAATATATTTCCTTATATCAGTAAATTATTATAAATATTTCTTCAGAGAACATTAACTGTGCTGTTCTCCTAGAAAGCTGATAAAATCTTTCAATATAATCACTGCAAGGTTAGACTTACTGTCATGAATATCCTGGGAGAGTTTGCAGGCATTGTTCCATGCATCACATATTTAAATAAAAGTCATCTTGATAAAATTCAAGTGGAGATTAATGGCCATCACTCTTAGAAGTGCATAAGAACTTCCAATTATACATTTGCAAGATTTAAAAATAAAAATATTGTTTCCAGTCGTATATGGTAATTCTTTGTTTATTTAAAAAAAAAAGAGGTATAAACCTTCAAATAACCCTCTAATAAAGGGAAACGTTCTTATTGTAAATGGTATTGAAATGAAGCTAGTAGTAAATGTGTTACAGATTTGCTGATTTACAGACTCTCATGGTCGGTCTCTGACAACAATTTACCAGATTAGTATCAAGAATAAAAAAATCTTTAATTAAACATTGCTTAAGGTCCAGGAAGATATAAGTTAGAAAAGCTGATGTTCTGTTTCTATGGAAACAGAGGTATAATCTGATTGACTTCTCTAGTTCTAATGGGCTTCTCTTGACACAACCGCTAAAAAATGCCCCCAGGGAAATTCAAACAGTTCACAACAAACCATTTCTTTTAAAGTGATGAACATCAGTTTTGATTACACTCTTCCTCTCTGCCCCCCCAAAATCCCAGCTATCAGAGACTAACAATCTAGATTTATATGTAGCAAACATCATTGCACATTTTCTCATTAGTACAAAGTACTAAATAGATAATACTACAAGTACTAGTTAAAACAGTAGTTTCCGAACTTTTCGGCATCACACCTCCTTCTTGATTTTTGAGAAACCCTCATGCCCCCCGCCAATAACAGCAAAACTTGTTGAGGGGAGGAAAAAAAAAAAAAAAAAAAGGGAACTGACCAGGGCCAAAAAACAAAAATAGCAGCACAAATTAGGGGGGAGGATTGACCGGGGTGGGGTGGGTGTGTTTGTGTGCGGGGGGAGAAGGCCCCCACCTTCTCCCTGGAATTCGGGAATTTCTTCATGCCCACCAGTTTGAAAACCTATGAGTTAAAAGGTGCAACCTATGAGTTAAAAGGTGTATTCTGAGACTCAAAACTACTATTCATTATTTGGAATTTAATTTAAGCAGATGTTACTAAAAAACAGAGCTGTAAAGAGGAAAAGGGGGATATACCAGTACAATGATTTAACAGTAATGCACAGTTGATCTGAGAGCACAGTCCTACAGGGTAACTTGCCCTGACTGCCTAATGAAATTGATAGAAATTGAAATGACTCAATATTACAGATGACCAAACCTAAAGATACACATATTAGTACATGAGTACCTAAATCAAAGTGCTCACATAGATTTGTAAAGACAACCAAATTTGAAA